AAGTGGTAATTTGGGAATGATCAACATTTCACTAAATATCTAAAATACTTTCCCCTTTTAAGTTGCCGTAAAGTAGTTGAAATAGCTCTTGTTACTATTCCAACCATTTTTGGGAAACATTATCCAAAAGTTGCTCTTGCTACCAACCACTTCTTAGGAAACATTAAACAAAAACTTTGTCAACCCTAAATATTGAAAAACTCTAAACGGCTACGGATAAATCAGCAATTATAATTTCCAAATCTCAAATTTTTGATTTTGAGTTAAGGGTGTGTTACTTGACTTTTTATTTATACACATAGGAGAGGATAATATTTTTCCTTTTTCAAATTCATTCCCACTCCAAATAGACAACAAAAACAAAAAAATCGGGGTTGATGGAATATCAAAGGGCTAACAGAGTATTGAGGTTTCTCTTTTCCTATATAAATACTCATCAATGCTGTAGGTAAAAGGAATTCATTCCAACACCCTCTGTACCACTGATATCATATAATGGCACCATCCTTCCTCATCCTCCTACTACTTCAATCTCTCCATGCCTGTACTTATTCCCAAAGAGTGAATCAAACCGATTCTCTTCTAAAATGGAAAACCAGTCTCCACTACAAAAGCCAAACCTCACTCTCTTCCTGGGTTGGGGACAATCCTTGTAGTTGGGTTGGAATCACTTGTGACAAGGCTGGAAGCATCACCAATCTAAACCTTTCAAGTTATGGTTTAAAAGGTACACTTCACAGTCTCAACTTTCTTGCCTTTCCTACTTTGATGGAACTTCGACTTCCTGATAATTCATTGTATGGGACAATTCCCTCGAGTACAGGTAACCTGTCCCAACTAAGAGTTCTTTACTTGGATTTTAATGATTTCTCAGGAAATATTCCATCAGAGATAGGATTGTTAACGAGTCTTAGTTTGCTTTCCCTTTGTGGAAATCAGTTAAATGGACCCATTCCTAAAGAAATAGGAATCCTCGAGTCTCTTAGTGAACTTGATTTATCAAATAACAATCTTTCAGGTCCAATTCCTACTTCTATAGGAAATTTGAAAAATTTGTCTATCCTCCATCTTTCTGAAAACAAGCTTTCTAGCTCAATACCTCAAGAAGTAGGAATGCTTAGGTCTCTAATTAAACTTTCTTTTTCAAGTAACAATCTTTTAGGTCCAATTCCTCAAGAAGTAGGAATGCTTAGGTCTCTTAGTGAACTTTCCTTATCAAGTAACAATCTTTCAGGTCCAATTCCTACTTCTATAGGAAATTTGAAAAATTTGTCTATCCTCTATCTTTTTGAAAACAAGCTTTCTGGCTCAATACCTCAAGAAGTAGGAATGCTTAGGTCTCTCACTGATCTTGGTTTATCACGTAACAATCTTTCAGGTCCAATTCCTACTTCTATAGGAAATTTGAAAAATTTGTCTATCCTTCATCTTTGGAAAAACAATCTTTCTGGCTCAATACCTCAAGAAGTAGGAATGCTTGGATCTCTTAGTGAACTTGGTTTATCAAGGAACAATCTTTCAGGTCCAATTCCTACTTCTATAGGAAATTTGATAAATTTGTCTATCCTTCAACTTTTTCATAACAATCTTTCAGGTCCAATTCCTACTTCTATAGGTAACTTGACACGTCTTAGTAAGTTGAATCTTTTGGAAAATAATTTGTCAGGTTTGATTCCTATAGAAATAAATAATCTCACTCTTTTAGAAAATTTACAATTAGGTGGTAACAAACTCAGTGGGCATATACCGGAGAAACTGTGCCTTAGGGGACTTCTCCAAAACTTTTCAATAACAAACAACCATGTGACAGGTCCAATTCCAAGAAGTATGAGAAATTGCACTAGCTTAGTTAGACTTCGACTTGATGGAAACCAACTTACAGGTAACATTAGTGAGCAATTTGGAGTTTACCCCAACTTGAATTTCATTGATTTAAGCCATAACAATCTGTATGGTGAGCTTTCTCCTAAGTGGGGGCAATGCCATAATTTAACAAGCTTCCAGATCTCTCACAACAACATAGCTGGAAGGATACCTGTTGAGCTAGCGCAAGCTACTCGGTTACAACGACTCGATCTTTCTTCAAATCATTTCAGTGGTGAGATTCCGCAAGAGTTGGGAAGGCTGACATCTTTGAGCTATCTCATACTGAATGATAACCAACTTTTTGGAAAAATTCCATCCAATATTAGAAACCTGTCATCTTTGGAACAACTTAACTTGGCAGAAAATGATATCAGTGGACAAATTCCTACAACAATTGGGGAGTGCTTGAAGTTATGGGACTTGAACTTGAGCAATAATAAGATTGGG